TTAATACCATATAAGTGTGTAAGAAAATAAGAAAATAAAAAAACGAATGAGGGAGATAGGGGTGCGCAAAAATTAAAAAAAATGAAAAACCGAACTGATCGAAAAACCGACCAAAACTGAATCAGAAAATCGATTAACTGAACCGATCGATTTGGTTTCAGTTTGATGTTTTCAAAAAACCAAAAGTTTTGGTTAACCATTTAAAAAAACCAACGATTAACCAAACCGATCGATATATATTTTTAAATAATACTATATATATTAATATTATATTTTTATTTATTTTTTAAATCAAATAAAAACATTTGATAAACTGAGAGTGTTCAAACTGTTGAACTGAGAGCTGAGACAGGTTTGCTAGTCTGGCACCCACTTGCTGCCAATTTGAGTCATCTGACAAACTGACACCCGTTGGCCACTGCATAGGCCTTTTTGGCTTTCTTTTTCTTTCCCTCTCTCTTGGACTCTCACTCTCTCATACTCCCTCTCTCTCTCTCTGAACTATTTCTCTCTCGCCTCTCCGTCTATTTGGACTCTCTCTCTCACTTCTCAGTCTCTCTTCTTAGTCTCTCTTTGAGCTCTCTCTCTCTCTTGCCTCTTGGACTCTCTTTGGTTCTAGCCTTTGGAGCTCTGCCCTCCGATCGATTTATCGATGGCCTCCAACACTGGCGATCTGCGACATTGGAGGCTTGGCCTACGAGTTAGAGGCTAATGCATCTCGGTGACACTAGCGATCCCAATTATCGTGTTTTTCCTTTTTTTTTTAATTTTAAGGGCATACAAAACCAAAAAACCAAACCATGGTTAATCGGTTGATCAGTTAATTAGTTGTACTAGTTCAGTTTCGGTTTGGTTGAATGTAAAAACCAAACCTATTGGTTCAGTCCAGAAAATTACCCCAAGGTTCGATTAACCGAATCGTGAGCACCCCTAGAGGGAGAGGGAGAGAAACTGAGGGAGAATGATAGAAATTAAGGGAGAAGGAGAGATCGACCGAGAAAGAGAATGAGAGAGATTAAGGGAGAATGATAGGTAGAGAGAGAGAGAGAATGGCAGAAATTGATATAGAGAACGTAAATACAGAAACCAAAAACCATTTTTATTTATTTTCAAATCACATAGTCGTTAGTAGATAAAGATGACTATGAGTGAAAGAGTATGAGGGAGATTGAAAGAGAGAGAGAAAAACTAAAAACCCTTTTTATTTTCTAATCACCCAACACTAAAAGGCAATTTTAGTATAAGCTTTTTACTGTGTCCAATATGGATTAAGAGTCCCATATTGGCAATAGTCACATAACCCTCCGATGACATGGTGAGAGTTTTTATAACTTAAAATGTAGAGCCATTTGTTAGAGTTTTGTTGGTTTATGGACAAAACTTGTAACCAATTTAAAACTAATTTAAAACTAATTCAAAAGCATTGCTATTTCTTATCTAGATGGTGGGTCAATGATCCAACTTTTCAAAAAAAAAGCATAATGTCACAATTGAATAATAAATATTTAAGTTTATTTTTAATCATATTATTACTTTTTTTTTATTTTCAATTTCTATCTTAACTATGATATATGTAAAATTCAAGTAATTAAAGTGAAGAAAAATTTCTCGCGTACAACGCATGTGCTTAATTACTAGTCATAACGAAAAGATGCAATGGTGAGTCATGGTTGTCCCGATCCTTTTTAACGGTCTCATGTTGTATCAATTGCCACGTTATCACTACGTGTTATGTCATCCTGATGTGGGCCCCCCCCATCTGGTTCGATCCTCAACATAGATGGAGGTTTTTTCTTCCAAAAAAAAGACATATCTGAGAACAACACTCACCATGGGATTAAAATGTCATGAAAATTTTCCCTCTACCGAAAAAAAAATATTGATGAAATTTTGGTTTCAAATATGCCAAACCAAAACGATATGTCAAAAATATCATGCCAATTTATGAATGCTGAAATTTCAAAATTTCAAAATTTGGAATATTTGCTCGCTTTACAAAAATTTTAGATATAACTTCAAATAATTAAAATAAAAAACATGGTTTTTAAAACCAAACCGGTCAGGGGTCCAGTCATTGGTTCGAACGGCTGGCCCGTTCTGACAAAAAAATAAACAATTTAAAAAAATAAAAAATTTGAAAAATGGTCAAAACAGTTTGAACGGTTCGGATAGTTCGAATGATTAATCGGTCGGTTCAGCGGTTTGCTGAACAAAATCAACGGTTTTAGGGAAAAAAGCAGGTTTGGGGAAAAACGGAACCGATCAGGTCCAACCGTCCGATCTAATCCGGTTTTGAAAACCATGATTAAAAGCAATAATATTCAACAAAATAATAAAAAAGCATATTAAATAAAATATATATCCAAAAATCTGAAGTTTTGAAACAGAGAAACCAACGACTTTAATTTGTTTATCAGTGCAAACAGAGAAAACTAGTTGTCTCTGCCAGTCTTCTGGATTAGAAGTGTTTTCAGTTGATGCCTTGACAGTGATTGTAGTATATGGAAGCAAAAGACTAAAGAAAGTACAAACAAGATCATCATCGGCCATTATAGGAGATAGGAAGTGTCACAACTCACAAATACATGACAGTAAGGAAGTAGAAAGGTAGAAATCAGGGTATAGGAAGGAACGAAGAGAAATGAAAAGCTTGCAGCCTTGCACTATGGGAAGAGGAAAACTTGTTAACACTATCATTACGGATAGAGTGAGGTAGCAATTATGGGTTGGGCTTGAATAAGAAAGCAAAATGGTCAACCCCACTCACAAATTACTCCCAGAGCGCTATTTAGGCTGGACTAATGGGCTCCAGCTCATCTATGTCTCTTTAGTGCACAATCACTAATAAACTCTAGAAGGTTTTTCTCTACAAAAGTGTAGATAAAGGTGCAAGTTGGACAGAGTTTGGCTTGATTGATTTTTTAATCCAGATTTGATCTTTGCACCAATCTCACAGCACTTTTTGCCATGCACTAGGAACATCTCTCATGAATGAGAACTTATATAAGTATGGGAGATATTTCCAATGAAGGCTGCAATGTGCTATGAGATCAATATGGTGTGAGTAGCATTCTGTAAGAAGCAAATTTGGGAACATTTCCTATGAATGATAATATACAAGTATGAGAGATGTTCTCAATACAAGACTGAGATGTGCTATGAGATTGATGATTTGGTGTGAGTAGCATTCAGTGAGAAGCAAATCTGGTTTTGTTGAGGTCGATTGTAACCCAGCATAAGTTGTTGAACCTCCCACCTTTGGTTTTGTTTGGCGTGGCTTTTTTAGCTTCCTTTTGTCAAATTTTCTTATTTCTTAGACTCAAGAATTAAGTCAATTGTAAATAGGGATGGTAATTTTCCCCATCCCCGATGGGGACTTGATTTCCCCAACCCCATCGGGTCGGGGATGGGGATTGAGTTCCCTGCCTCGCCTTGACCCCAATTATATATTTATATTAAATGTATATTATTTATATTATATATATATATATCAAAACATATTTAAAACATTATTTATAATTTAAAGTTTTTATTTATTTTAAGTAAATTTATTTTTCAAAAAAATACTATTATCTAAAAGAATTTCGGAGATTTGGGTCCTCACAGGAAACCCATCCTTATCGGGAATCAGGGATGAAGGACAAATTTTATTTCTTACAGAAATTATGAACGAAGATGGGAGTTAATTTCATAATCGAAAGCGGGGATAGGAAATATAGTTATCATGCCTTAGAAAAATTTTTCTTTTAAAATTAATATTGTTAACATGCTTATATACATTTACATTTTTTTTTTTTATTTTGGAATGGAATGGATCCTACATCTCGCAAAGACATAAGTAGATAACCATATACATTTATATATAAATAATTACATACACATACACAAAATAAAATCGGATTCACACTATTCAACCCTGACTCGAATTTCAATCGATCCAACCAAATCTAACTTTTGAGAATGGATTCAGGCTAAATCCTGCCTAAATTGCAGGATTAAGTGTAGAGGAGCCAATTGGGGACATCTAAGTGTCACTTTGTGATTTAGGCGTTAAGCCTAAGGTTAAAACTAGGGTCCCCAATTGTAATGGTAAGTCATTTATATCATCAATATTTCTCTCCAATTAAATGCTGATCTATGCATTGGAACTAAGTCTTCCAATGAAAATAATACGGAGGAATAAAATAAAAATCCACCATCCAGAGAGAAGAAAATAACTTGAATTTCATTCAAAGTTTGAAAGTAGGTTGGGGCATAAATTTAGACCATCCATCCAAATTTGCTTTGGTTTACATAACTTGGTATAGTTCAATTTGTTCCAGTTCAGATTTCACAACAATATTGCTTATTAATTTGTTAGACATGTACATAAATTGGAAACTCAGCCCCGGCTCATTTGCAGTGCAACTTCATTTGCGTGCAAAAGCATGAACGCAGATTCTGATTTATTTTTGTTCTAGCCTCTACCTTATTTTGTTTGTTTACAGTGTTGATGGAGTAAAATAAAGCATTAGAGAAAAGAAAAGTAGTGAAATAAAACCTGAAACAAAACCCAAAGCAAAGTCGGACCAGAACTTTCATTCTCATGCTATTTGTACTAGTACAAACAAATAAATGGAGCTAGTGTTGAAAAATTGCACCCACAAGTCAGAAACATTCTATTGCATTACTGCGAGCCAGATTTGATATCTTGCTTCAAATTTGTTGCACTTATAGTGGCATGGTCCATTTAACTAAAAGACATTCTATTTTATTACTGCAAATCAAAACCGTCCATGGACCATGGTAAGGATCATAGCTAGGGACTCAAAGGATGAGAAACACTGTCTGTTTGGCAATATGACAAATTCATGGTAAATATAAAATATGGGTGTCTATAATTACCAAATTACCCTCCATTATTATCCATTTATTTTTCAATTTATTATATATATTGTCATTTATTTCTAACATAAACTTGAATAATTACGAAAAAAAAGAGTTTTTCCCCTGATTTTTATTCTAATAATGGATCCATTTTGCAGCAGGGAAGTTTAGGGGCATTTGTGTCTACCACCATGAGTGGTCATGTTGGCATAGCAGGGGCACACATCACAGTTCCCTGACGTTCCTGGTGGGACACAGTTGCATCTCTCGCAGCATGTGTTGCACGCCCTAATGCACATCTTATGCCTTGACGCCTTGCTGCATCGGTAGTCACATGCGGATGAACAGTCTGTAAATTCATGAATGCAGCATCCTTGTTAGATGGATCCCCACGGTTTGAATCATGGGTCAGACCGGATACTTATAAACCAGGCCGCAAGATGGATCCATCCGTCCAGATGAGCATAGACGGCTAGATCCTGTCTATAGGTCAAGACTGGAAGAACCGGTTTAGTTAGATGGACCTATCATGTTGGGATGTTTGGCCATCCTGGTCAGCTCATTCAGTTGAGTTCCCTTTTAACTAGCTTGGATTGATTTACTACGTCGTTATCCTTGTCAATTAGGCCTTCTGGTTATGGGCTAACTAGCCAGAGGACTGCTTTGACCAGCCGGCCCATTACATATATATCATGTACAAAGAATATTCAGCAAATTTTATGGGCTGGGCCAGTCAGTGTGAGTTCGGTCTGTACCCAGACTATAATTGGACTACTGATGGATCATGGTTGTCTCCAATTCCATTATGTTCTTACCTATGCCGTTCTCTTCATATGTAATCCCCAGTCCACCGTAAATATGCAACTGAATTTATCAAAAAACCAAACAGGAAAAGAAAAAAAAAAGCAAAGTCAATAAGGGTATTAGTGAATAAAATAGTCATATTATGAAATATCTAGGGCAAACTAGTCATCCAGTAAAGAGTTTGGGTCCTATTTGGGTTGTGTTTGATACCACTGCTGTATCTACCTGAAACGTTTGAAATTAACCAAAACAAATTGTTGTTTCTAACTGCACTGTTAAATGATGTAGCAACGCATATTTTTTAACAATTTGTATTTATCAACACATAATGTTTCAAATAGAAATAGCAATATACCAAACACAACCTTAACCACTAATCCTATAAACACAATACCAAACCCAGATTTAACCACTATTCCGGTCAACCATATCGGAACTCGACCGGTGAGACCATGACTAAAGAATATTGAAGCATCGAAACGAAAAGAATGACCTACCTGAATTACAAGGAGGAAGCAAAGGGCTGTGAGAAGCAAAGTCTCCTTAGCAGTGGTCATGGAGAGAGAGAGAGAGAGGTTTGCAGGTGAGGAACCAAAAGCATAGTAGCCCCCTTTATAGAAGAAGAGGCTGACGCTTTCGGAGAAAATTTTACGTCTGCCAAGCAAATTCTTCAAAAGAAGTTCAAGCATTTGCAGCGAACAGAGCATGTAAAATCACCAACTAAGGATAATGATCATATTTGTGTCAAATGCATCAAAAGTAAACGTTTCACTCCTAACCAATCTTCATATCCAATGACCAATACGCTTGATCAATGGGCTAAAATCCTTAGATTAGTCCCATCGATTTGCATATATATTTGGCAGAGTTGTAGAGGATCTGATAAAAGGTAAAACAGCTTAGGGAGGTTTGTTGCAGAATTGGGTCCCACCAGGATTACTTGGATTTCAACTATGTTCTCTTCAACCACACAGTAAGATTCCCTCCCAAAGAAGAGATTAGGTAAGTAGCTTTAGCCCAGGAAAACAAAATCCACCCGAAACTGCTCATTTGAATAAAAGATGTATTAAGCTATAGAATCCACATACACTGCAGTCATTTTTACACATTGATCCTTTAATGGGAAGAACCTATCCTCCCAATCTTTGTAGCAAATCTGGCCAATATCCTGACCGTTGATTTATTTTTTCTTTTCATTTTAAGATTGGAATACACCTTTTCCCATTTCTAGGTTTTCTTGCAACACATGATTATATATTCATGTTGGTAGTTTGCAAATTGTGAGTCACTTGTTGTCTGTTGGTTAGGAGTGGTTAAGGGGTGTTTGTGGTGTGGTTGGATTTTATAGGCCCCAAGGTAATGTGGTTAAAATCATATGAGTGAACAATAACAACATCCAACTCTATTATATATTAATGTTTTTACCTAAAATGTTTTAAATTGATCAATACAAAATAAAATGGTGATTTTATAACTAATGTAACATATACATTTCTCACCAAGGTCAACCTAGGCCCAAGCCTCAAGGTGCAAATCTCCGGCATAGGGCTGGTCCAACCCAAGGTCAAGCCGAGGTTTATAAACTCAGGCTCAACTCAAGCTTAACCCAACATGACCCAAACTGGGTTAGGCTTGGATTGGGTTGGGCCGGACTCGGACAGGTTAGTCAGGTTTCATAGAAGTTATGTATATATTTTCATATAGTCATCTTTAATTGGGCTTTATGCCCAAATGTAAAACTAAAATTGATTGAAAAATGTGTACAAATTTCATTGCAATGTATGAATACATATTTTATACTGTAATACATTTGTATGTAATTAGAAAAAAGACATTTATTATATAAATATAATACATTTGTATGTATTTGTTCAGGCAGGTTTAGGTTAGATTGAGCCCGAAATGGGTTGGCTTGGGTTTGGGCTAATTGAGGCCTCTACCCATGTCCAACCTAAAGCTTAAGTTAAACCTGAGTTTTTTGACTTAGGTCCAACCCACAACCTAAAAACTCAAAAAGCCAATATGCGCAAAGACTTTGGCTGGATTTGATTGGGTTCGGGTTGGGCCTGTCCAAATTGCACCCTTAATTTGAGATAGCTAGGTTGGATGAAGTAAAACAAAAATCAAAGAGCCTAAAACCCGTTTTGGCTGATGGTCTACCCATTAATGGTTTGAAATTAGTAAGGGGCATCTCCTTTTTGATGGATTGTAATCTAATGAAGGGGTTTGTTTAGCATAGGTTGGTTCGGTTTAGTTTGAAGGTATTATCTGAACTATCTCGTGAATATTGGTTCCAAGGTTGGTTATAGCCTTGACAGTTCTGGGGTCAGTTCCAAGATGTGCCTGTGGCTGTGGAACCAGTTTTTTCTTTTAACACTCTCCACCCTCCAAAAAAAGTATGGAACCTATTCTTTAAAATGCTATGCTTGATTTTCAACAACAACAATAATAATAGAGTTCAAATATGCATATTCAAATATTATATATGCACATTCAAATATTAAATTGAAAAGAAATGATTAAATCACTTAAGTGACAGGCACGATGGTCAAGTGAGACCATAGTCCAGGTAGCCATGAGTATTGATTTCAAATCAATATATTTTGGAATTTATTTCAAGGATAATTCAATTCCAAAGCTTCAAATTCCAACCAAACCCTAGCTCATAGCAGATTGAGTACGGTCAATTCAAGGTCATTGATTCCATTTGTCTGTAGATAGAACCTACTCATTAGCTCTCCTCTAAATTCAGGTTAGAGCAAGCTGTTTTGCATATAAAAAACTACTCAAAAATATTCATCAATAACCAGCTTTTGAGTTTACGTCTTTAAAGCTTCTTTTTGGCTTTACTTAGTATAGTGACGAGCACTTACTGGTTAAGCTATTTCTCCATTATTGTTCAACAAATAAAAAATAGTCCAAAAGTAGAATTTATATTGGTTTCAAGTAATTATTCCCAGTCATTTTATTTCCAGAATACAACCCTGTCAAGGTAATTCCTTTTTCCATGATTGTATCCTCTGTAGGATTTTCTTAGGCTTCGTTTCGTTTCAGTACAAATTTCATTTGCATGGTGTAAATGCTTGGAAGTGCAAAAACGGCTGAGTGTAAAATTCTGGTTTACTTTTGGCCACTCTTGAACAAGGAACAGTTGCCAAGCAACCTGATTGGCCCATTGTAAGAAATTCTTAATTATATATTTTTCTTTATATCAAAAGAATCGAAACATATTGGTTAAGGATTAATTCTACTACATTCTCATACTGTAACTATATATTCTCCAAAAATAATGTCCATAGAAGAAGTAAAAAGTAATTAACAAACATCAAACTAACGCATGAATGAACAGTTTAGGATTTCCTTCTATTTTGAAAATAAACTATTTACTTAAAAGATAGTATTTTTCTACACAAGCTGATAAACTATTTGCTTTAAAAGATAGTTAAAAAGTATCAAGCACCAGCCTGTTCGTTCGAGCAAGAGAAGGGAACGTTATAACCCTTCTTTTAATAGTTTTCTTCCTCCTCTGTCATTCTCTCCATTTTCCATCTTTAAAGTAGAAAAATAATCACAATAGCTAGCTATAGCTCTACCTCTCATGGCTGCCATCTAGTCTAGCACGGTGTTGGGGAAATGCCAAGTCTCTCCACCTGCAGCTTCAATCGAACATCATTCCCAACCTCAAAATCTCACTCTTCCTCGCCCTCCAACACTTCTACATTCTTGCCGGAAACCTATTTGTAAAAGAGACAGTTGATGTTGGAAAACCCTAAACCTATACCAGAGAAAGAGAATCTTTCTTCTGTATTATCCAGTCCAAACTGCAGAGGTGAATTTCATAAGACTTGAAACAGGACTTTGAAACTTGAAACATGACTCATGTGGCTGATCCCAATAGTTAGGAATTGGGATAAGGCTATGTTTAATTGACTTGAGCTTTGACTATGCAATCCTATTTCTTTAAGATATTTGTAGCATTTAATCTGTGAAAACTTTTTCAGGGTGTTGGTTCTGGTGCTCAAAGTGATGTTTCTTTCTTATCATGGAATGACAAGGTTCAACATATACTTGCATCCACTTGACATAATGGGACGATAGGTGGACAATGAATATATATTTATTTTCTAGAATATTTTAGAAACCTATTTAGAATTTGCACATTGCTTATCTGAGAGTGAATGTTTTTCTACTATTTTTAGTGGTGTGGCACTTTTCTGGTAATGAATCTACATGGTGAATTGTATATTTAGACATGGCTTTTCTGTTTCTGACAGTTTGTCAGATTCAAATAGAAGGCGAAGTTCTGTTTTACAATGAAATCCTGATATTGCAACTCAGCTTGTTGTTGCATCTGATGATGACAGTTCACCTTCTCTAAGGGTACAAATATATGTCTTATTATTAAGGATTTTGGTCATATTATCGTAGTCTTATCTTATAAATATTATCAATTTTAGTCTAAGTAATCCTTTTATGATATTTATAACAGTTGTGGGATATAAGGAACCCAATATCACTATCAAAAGAAGTTTTTGGGCACACTTGTGGTCTGCTATCTAACATGATAATACTTCATTTCTCCTTTTGTTAAATGCTAGTATGGTGGGCATGATTTACAAGTTAGACTGTTTTTAATAATATGGCTGTTGCTATGTTTTGATAACTTTATTTTGTGATTGGGAATCCTTGGTGTGTCTCCCTGGGTTTTAGAAAATTAGGGTACTAATTGTAATTATTTGATGGTTGAGTTTTTCTTTAATTTCTTTAGTTCATTATACATTGTTTTTTYTTAATTTGTTGATGTCATATTTGTTTTCTTGCCTTTTCTTTTTCTTTTTTTGGATTTTGTTTCCATCACTTGATTTTTCTTTAAGAAGACTTTTCTTCACAATAGAAAATATATTTTTTTGATGTTTATAAGTTCTGAAATCTCCTTTGGCAAAATTCATGGATTTAGATTTATACAGAACTGAAAAAATGGTGAAATGTGAACCTCTTTTTTAGGTTCTGTTGCATGATGCTTTCATGAATCTATGTTTCACATAAATACACAAATAATTCTGAGGTTAGGAAGACTTGTTTGTTTCTACAAAACCATTTTGTGGTAAAAATTCATTAATTACTTACTATGAGATATACTGAACTGTTATACCTGTGAAGTATGCTAGAATCACTTATTGCAAAACTTGAATGCATTATCTATACTGTGGTTGACATCTGGTGCCTCATGCAGTTATGCTTATTTCCTGATTTCTTTTTTGTTTTATGGATTTTCCTCTTATGGACTATATGCCCTGTGTTCCTTTCTTTCTTTCTTTCTTTCTGTATGCATATATTTGCATCATGGCCGAGTTTGGTAAATGGTGATTGCTTAGATGGCACTCTGCAATTCAACCCAAATTCTAAAGCCCGTTTTGTTGATACCCAACTATTTTCCTGATTCCCTCAGTCTCATAATAGTCACTTTGGTTTGGTCATCAATGAGTATAGTGCATGAAGCAAAGTTTAGATTGCATTCCACAAATTTCTTGGCAAAGCTTCAGCTGCAGCCTCGACATCAATCCTTCAGTAGGAGGAAGAACAATTTCATCTAGATTCCCAACTGACATAGGATTTATTGCTCATGCTCTTTGAATGCCACTGCAAATTTTCAGTATTGCCTTTTCTTCTCTCTACTCAACCCTTTAAATAGTGGGTTTGACCTAAAAATTGAAACAATTTTTGACTAAAAATGATTGATCTGAGGCTTTTCAGCACTGTTCTATACCTTTATGTAGAAAAAGAAGGGAAGAAACTACTTACATGTAGAGTACATATAATGGATTTTCACTATCATAATTTTGTTTGAAGCACATAAGCAAGGAACCCTGATCTTGATCATTAATTTGCTGGACCAGTCACTTGCTTATTGCAATTCATGGCTTAAATCTTATAAAAGGAGTAAAAACACCAAACACAATCTTCTTTTAAGCACAATAGCAAGGGACTCTTGTCTTAATTATTAGTTTTCTGAATGTAGTATCTGTTTTATTGAAATTTGTAGCCTGAATCTCATAGAGGGGGTAAAGAGATTGGAGTTCAAGAAATGTCAGATACCAGCCACTGGTTATTGGACCGATCAGCTCTACCTAACAATGAACCCATTAGGGGTTTACAATTCAATGGCATGGATGATCTTCTCCACCTCTGTAAAGGATTTGCTTTGATGTTGAAGCCTGGTGGCAATTCTGCTTTCTTACCTTCTAGTTGGGTTAATTGAGGCCAACCAAACCCATTTTAGCAGATTTAATATAGTTGGATTAAGGCTTTATTAAGTTGGACTAAGTTGTTTGATCATGCACTTTTGTTTGAGAAGAGAAGAGGATAAATAAATAAATAATGCATCTAACTTTTGCTTTTCTATATGGATATTACAAGCTTTTTTGTATTTTGGTTTTAAACCCAATCTGGTATGGAATTAGAGTGTTGAGCAGAAGAAACATGTCAAAAAAAAAGTGTGGTAGATACGTGACATGTCTGGAGTTAAATAGGTAAAATGGATAAAATAATATACATCCTTTGTACCCTTCTTGTTCTGATATTGCTGATCAGCTCGATAGGATTTTCTGTGAAGACAAAGTTTGGGATGTCAGACTGGTGGTACTTGCAACTAGAAGATACTACAAATTTGTATAATCCATCAAAGCCTATGTTGTCAGGTACTTTCCATCTGGTCATTACTCTTATCCTCTATGCCTATCTAATACCCATATCATTCTATGTCTCAATCGAAGTAGTGAAGGTCTTGCAAGCAATGTTCATTAACCAAGACATAAACATGTATGATGAGGAGACGAGCAATCCTGCTGAAGCTCGTACATCAAATCTGAATGAGGAGCTCGGCCAGGTTGACACTATTCCTTCTGATAAGATGGGCACTTTAACATGCAATCAAATGGACTTCCTCAAGTGTTCCATATCTGGTGTTGTCTTTGGTATGGGTTCTAGTGAAGCTGAAATAGTTGCACGGATGGGAATTGGTTGAAAGAACCCAATTCAGACACCATATTGTTGTTCTTTCGGATACTGGCACTTTGCCACACAACAATTCTTGAGCTAAATGAGGAAACTGGCAGCTTCAACTATGAGGCTGAATCACTAGATGAGGGAGCTTTTCTTGTTGCAGCTAGAGAGTTTGGTTTTGAATTCTCTAAACGGACTCAGACAAGTGTCTTCATTCAAGAAAGATATCCTTCTTCTAAGCACCTGATTGAAAGGTTAGAATACAAACATATTTTAGGGTCTTCAATTCTTCATTGTTTTGATTCATGGCATCTAATCCACCTATTTGTTGGAACATTTTCAGGGAGTTCAAAATTCTAAATCTGTTGGAGTTTAGTAGCAAGTGGAAGTGGATGTCTGTTATTGTTCAGGATGAAAATGGAGAGATTCTTCTTCTGTGCTAAGGTGCAGACAGGTCTGATTTATATGCTATCTTTTGTTTGTAGAATGTGTTTTTCCCAAGAGATCTTCAAGTTTTCTAATAGGTCAAGCCATCCATTTTGGTTGTGTTCTCCTAAAGCTACATTAATTTCATCTTCAAATACTCACTGTATGTTTTCTTGCTTGGATCATGCAGCATAATTTTTGACCGGTTAGCCAAAAATGGAAGAACATATTTGGAGGAGAAAAGTAGGCATCTGAGTGAATATGGAGAAGCAGGTTTGCGGACTTTGGCACTTGCATATAGAAAGCTAAAAGTGGCTGGGTATTCTAATTGGAACAGTGAATTTCTCAAGGCAAAGACTAATGTAGGTAGTGGTAGAGAGGTGATGCTTGAACAGGTATCAGATAAGATGGAAAAAAATTTAATTCTTGTAGGTGCTACTGTTGTGGAGGACAAACTACAAAAGGGGGTAAGCTTGTCTTTCTCTTTTGGAGTCTATAAAGAGTGCAACTTGGGCAGGTTTGGGTTTGGTGGAGCTAACAGTAGCAAGTCCATGTGTACTGAACATTCAGTCTTAACCTAATCTGACCTGAAGATTACCATGAATTGTTCAACTTAAATCCTACTTGACTTGGGCTGGGTTTATTATATCATATAATGCACGCAGAATTTCAAATAGAGATTAACTTCTGAAAAGAATAATAAGAATAAAGATAGGTTAGCAGTAGCAGGGACTGAATACCAGGGGCGGAGCTAAATTATACCTTGTAGGTTCCTTGGCCCATTTTATTATGTATGCATGATATGCCGTTGGTTGTGTTTTATTTGTTTCCTTCTGATGTAGTGCCCATGTGGGTTTTCGTGTCAACCTTAGTTTCTTTTCCTATCTAATACTGGTATTTTTTGCAAGTCAAATTGGAATAAGGAATTGAAATGTTGAACATTTTCAAGAATTATGAAATTGATGTGTCCATCCTGGATGATTTTGATTTTTACGAGGATCACCGCAGTAATGAGCACCGAAATCCAGTCTCACTATCTAGTGACTTCATAAAATAGATGACCAAGAGATTTGCTCAAGTTGTTAGGTTGGAAGAAAGTGGTAAAGAAGACTTGATAACAGAGAAGGGTGGCTCTACTATTGTTGCAGTTGTGGGTGCTGGAGTTAAATATGAAGATGCGGTACATTATTCAAGAAGATATATTGTATTTAAGCAAATTGTTTTGGATATTATAATAATAAATAATTTAATTAAAAGTTTTTTTATTTAAATTGATTTTTATGTATTATGTGCCATGAGATCTATATTAAACAGGTACTAAAAAAATATAGAAATCAAATTGATATAAATAATAAAAAAAAAGACAAAGCCGGTGGTCCTGACTGCCGCCTAAAAACGGAAACAACATTTAGACGGACCTAAGGTGGCGGTCTAAACAGATCTAAGCCAGTGGTCTAGACTGCCACCTAAGAACATGAGTGAGTTTGGTAGAAATCTAAGGCGGCGGTTTAAATCGCCGCTTTATTAATGCAAAGCCGGCGGCTCGGTGTGACCACCGCTTTAGAGTAATTTGAACCGGGCACTTAAGGCGGCGGTCTTGACCTAAGCTGGCAGAGTTTTAAGGGGCAGACTGAAGACCGCCACCTTAGATCTAACCGCCGGCTTTAAATATGAAGATGCGGTACATTATTCAAGAAGATTTTTTTTTTCTAAATGCGTTGTACCGTTTTATATGTCAATTGGATATTGTATTTAAGCATATTGTTTTGGATATTATAATAATAAATAATTTAATTAAAAGTTTTTTTTATTTAAATTGATTTTTATGTATTATGTGCCATGAGATCTATATTAAACAGGTACTAAAAAAATGTAGAAATCAAATTGATATAAATAATAAAAAAAGACAGCCGGTGGTCCTGATTGCCGCCTAAAAATTGAAACAACATTTAGACGGACCTAACGCGGCGGTCTAAACAGATCTAAGCCAGTGGTATAGACCGCCACCTAAGAACATGAGTGTGTTTGGTAGGCGGCGGTTTAAACCGCCGCTATATTAATGCAAAGCCGGCGGCTCGATGTAACCACCGCTTTAGAGTAATTTGAACCGGGCACTTAAGGCGGCAGCCTTTTGCATCTAAGCCGGCAGAGTTTTAAGGGGCAGACTGAAGACCGCCACCTTAGATCTAACCGCCGGCTTTAGACCGATTTTCTTGTACCCGTATAAGGTGGTAAAGGTTGACCATATGTCATAGGACAAGAAGGTGGAGGAGAAGGCGGAGGAGAAGAGTAACAGGGTGGTGGGGGTGGTGAAGGAAGACAGTAAGATGGAGGAGGAAAGCAAGGTGGAGGGCCATAAGGCTGTCCGAAATAGGCCACATGTAGTAGAAAGAAGCACCCAACAGATAAAAATATGAAATGGGAGTTCAAATATGCTTGCTTGGAGTTCCAAGCTGCAAGAAAGCAAGAGTATTTATAGGAAGACGTGATTGAATTTCATTTGATAAGGTTCTTGCTCCAGAAATGTCTTTACCAATATTCTAAGCTATCGTTCCACAGCTTAAAGAAAAAGCTACCATTCCTAAGGATGATGGAGTCACATCTTTGTATATTTAGATTCTATGTATCTACATGAAAGTTTGTTTGTTTGTTTGTCAAAGGAAAACGAGAGCATCTCCCCATAGATTGAGTGACCAGTGGTCCAATTAGAGGGAGGTATGTTGGAACTGTACTGTGGGTCCGAAAGATCAAGCCCCAGATGTCCATGCTTTCATATTTTCAGGAGAATCCAATACCCCTATCAGTCAGGATTTTCAAAGAAAATTTCGGTCTGTTTTACAATTTGGAAGTTTTGGAGTTTGAATGATGTAAACCAACGATTGTGAACTCTGCACACACATAGCTTCTAGTTGTACATTTAGAATATCTCCCACACATGTGTTAAATTATTGAGGAGACTGCACACATAACACTCACCGTGCGTTGAGAATATATATCTGCTGTACAAGCTGTGAATCATTGATTACACTACGTTGGTAAAAAATGTATGCATGACCTGCAATAACTCAATCACTCACTAAGCATTTGTGGCTGATGTGGGGCATCAGCAGAAAAGAGAGAGAGAGAGATGGTCCCCTTCACACATTTCCCGCTGCTCGTTTTTCTTTGAACGCTCTCTCTTTTCTCTCTTACTTCATCATGCTCTCTTATTGAGTTTCTCAATTCCTTTCACCTAGCTAAGTGAAATTTTTATCCCCCATTTTTTTCTAAATTATATTTAATTTTATAGATTTTCTCTCATAAATTATATCTAATTCTTATTTATGCTCTACCCCATTTTTCATCTATCTATCTAAAATAAATTTGAATTAAAAAAGTTAAGAATTAAAAAAAAATTTATTAAAAACACAAACAATAATCATAGTAGATTTAATAATATTCATGTTATGAGTTATGATGAAACTGATCAAGAAGGATCGGTCACAAACCTAATGGTTCGACCAATCTGACTGCAATTCGTTCTGGTTGCTTACCACAATACATGGCCAGGTAGTTCACACAGACACATATATATACAAATGTCGGTGATATAAAATAGTAGAGTACAAGAGATGTTCTCAACGTGCGGCTGGGTGAATTAATGTATTCCGATACGCAGATAGAACTTGGATCGGGGTTGGGGTTTGATATCCCATGCCAGTATGCAATGCGTTCTGGTTGAGGTGAACCTAATCAAACCTGACCTATTTGACATGGGTACTGGACCAATCAGACAACACCACGTCATTCTATATCCCGTGGGTTTTAACACTTGCCTTTGTTATCAGGACACTGATCGGTCCAGTACACCACGTGAACTCCGCTGCTAACCCGAAAACTGTGAAAAATGGCACAAACCCATAAATCCTCGTTTGTCGGGTTGCAATTCATTTATTAATTTTGGAACGTCTCTCCACCAGTCCATCCAATAGGCCATTGCCCAAGGCTCTAAGCAAAGAATAAGCAGCATCTCTCCCACCACATTTCTAATTTCTTCACAGGAACAAAAGCAACAAAACTAAAAGTAGTTTGGTATTCACTATTCATGCACGTCACACTTACCATAAAGCCTAGTGACAAGCTATCTTCACATGCCAATCTCAAAACATCTAGAAGAAGAGATCAAAGGCTATATATCAAGACACCCACTTCTCTCACCTTCTCTAAATTCAGTCACAAAATCTCTCCTTTCTTCAATTCATCTTATCATCCTCCTTCAGCTATGCCAATGAAGATTTTTTCATCTTTATTCATAGTCTTCCTTCTCCTCCTACAGGTTTATTTCAATGCAAACTCCCCTTATATATCAATCATGTTAGAAGCAATTCCTTGACTAATGAACTTTGGTTTGGGTACCAATGTACATTATTGCAGGCTTTTGCAGAAGCATCAATAGATAATGCTGTCAATTCTGAGACTAATGTGAGTTAGTTTTATTCCTTTTCTTTCTTTTTGTTACGAAATTGATGAAATATAACAGGAATGATGAACCCCTAAATTGAGTTCAGATGAACGAGGGAGGTGATCACATAGCTGCTCTCAACAAAAATTATCACCACCCCAAGATCAGTAAGCTCATTTGATTCATGTAGAAGAGAAGAACAATATATTTCACAGGCATTTCAGAGTAGTTATGTATTATTTTGTTTCAATTCTGGTGATACAGATTGTCACTTTGCATGTTCGAGGAGATGCAGGAAAGCATCAAGACAGAAGATTTGCACTCGAGCATGCGGCACCTGCTGCATGAGGTGCAATTGTGTACCGCCGGGGACTTACGGGAATAAGAATGCTTGCCCTTGTTATGCCAGCCTCAGAACCCACGGAAACAAGCCAAAATGCCCTTGATCGATCTTCTTCAGCTAGTTACGTTACTGTATTATTTAATTTCTACCATGAGTAGATGAGTTTAGGTATTTATTTTCAGTGTTTCATGGCTTCTTGCCATGCAAATCATGGTTATGCATATATGCTAGGAGGGGCGTCAATAGCATTTATGGTGAATAAAGAAAAGAAATTTATGTAATTATAATGTCTTTATATTAATATACTGTATATATATATATATTGTAACATCTGATGGAGAAATAAGATTCTGTGAAGGCAAGTTGATAGAATTATTGGAACTACTACATATACTATATTCTTCCAGTGAAACTGAAAACAGAGGAATGAAAAAATCCATCATCCAGAGAGAATAAAGTGAGTTGAACTTGGTGCAAGTTTGGTATTTGGAACATCAAGATAACAGATAGCGGCATAATTTTGGACCATCCATCCATGTCTGCTTTATTCTGCATAACTTCTTTCTGGCTCAACGTTGGTCCGATTGTCTGGTTTGTTTCAAATTGCTTCTGACATGGCTTATATATAATTAAAAGAAAGAAATTTTCTATCCCATCTCCCATTAATGTTTTGCATGGGAAGAAGAATTGTTTCTGTTACATCTGAATCTGATCTGATTAATGCAAACATAAGGAGTTAAATCTGCATCCAATCCAATTATTAGGTGCTGTTTGATAAGTTTTTTTGGTCTTTTACAAAAATCATTCAATAGCTAAGATGATGGCCAAAAGATGTAATGAGCTTTTAGGGTCTTCTTTTTAAAGATCTAGATCATTTGATAAGTATTTTAGGGCCCGTTTGGCATGTCTTTTTGGGAAGATCTGGTAGATCTGACAAAAGATGCATTGAGCTTTAGCATAAAGATCTATTTGAAAGATGTGCATCTTTCTGTGTGTCTTTCCACATGAGAATAAAACGTGAAAGACACCAGAAGCTTCGTTTGGAGCTTCCCAGATTTAGCCTAAAATAGTCTTTTCGTGTTTTTTTGACGTTTCATCTTTTGGCGGTTAGATCTTTTGCGCACCAAATGGAAATAGACCAAAAATCGGTCTTCTTAACTTGTAAACAGCCGAAAGAACACATGGAAAGACATGCCATACGGGCCCTATAGTCTACCATGATCTACAAGACTGTTTGATAAGTATGATCTACCATAACCTACAAAATTATTAAATTAAAGATTTTAGATGCAGAAAGACAAAGGCTTCATTTTACTCTTCCAAATATTTTGCCCTTTTGGGGATTCTATGAACATTTTAGTGCATAGCCGGGTCTTTTTGGCATCCTGTTTCATTGTTACATTGTTAGAGAATGACAGATTTTAGTTTTTCAAACTTTAAAAAGCCCAAAAAACCATGTGAAAAGACTTGTCAAAGGCCTCCTAGATGAAATGAATACAGGTTTTAACATTCATATCTGAATAATAGCATTAGAATTTTAGAGTCCGTTGACAGCCCTACTGCCTGCCTACCAATTGCAATTAAGTAGGCCTGTCAATGGCCTGGGTTGAGGAGATGGGCCGAATTGCCCAAACCGATCCATGCACCGTTATTACATAGAGTCAATGCTTGTACTTTGGGTCCAAATTATGATAGAGGTAAGGTTGGTTTTACCTGTTCCGACATGATTAAGATATGTTGAAAAAAGAAAGAATGATAATTAGCAAGTTTATTGCCAAATTAAAAGGCTAGAGACTTAATTATCAGTTAATTATAAGTAGGTTTTAATGTATCCCGGTTCACTCAGGTCATATTGAATCAGACGATCTGTTAATTATATACTTAATGAACAGGATCTGTTAATTATAATTAGGTTCTAACTTCTAAGGAGACAGAACTATTCTTTCACTCTCTCCCAAAAAATTGTCTTATATATTGAATCAGAGCGAAGAACCAATAATATGGTCGGTTCTGGTTCCTTGTTACAAACTTACAGGGGTCTAGGTTGGGACCTGATCTGTCAGTTTTCTTATCGACTTAGAACTGGATCTATCCTTTGCCTGACCCAGACCCAACCCATTGAAAAGCTTCACTTCAAGCAAGGGTGAACATTAAACACTAATAAAATAACCTCCATGCATCAGAATACCTTCTTGGTTAGCTTGCCATGAAGAGATACCATACTCCATACAGGTTTACACATGGATTCGTTATTCCATGCTTGTAAAACATTGATCAACATTGTCATCTTTATTGTAAATTAAAAGCTCTACTTGTTGCATGTGGCCATATGCAAACCTATCACTCCTATGAATTCTTGGAGATTGGAATTCTGATCTTATGGTAGCATCAAACGATTAATCAAATGGTAAAGGCTTGACAGGTGTAAACTTCACTGCAAGAAATGTTGTTTCTTGTGATGGGCGTTTTCCTTTTTTTTTTTTTCTCTCTCTCTCTTTTTGGTAGGCAGCTATACCAATCTGATGACTAAAAATGTCATTCACTGGCAATATACTAATTTTTTTGAGAAGTTTTTTCTGCATGTATGACTTTATTTTTAGAACAAGAAACAACTATAATATCAACTAAATCATGTTGTGTCAACATGCAATAAAAAAATAACGTACATTTATTTTCAACAACTCTAACTACAAATAAAAGGAATAATATTAAAAATTAGTATTTTATAAATCAACAAAATAAATAATTTAGAAAACCCATATATATATATATCAAAAATGAATTTTAATTTTAAATATTTATACAAATATGAATATTCATAATAGAATAATTATTTTAATACTTAAAATTTATAAATACATGAAATATATATCTTAAAATTTTTATAAATTATTAATTAATATTTTAATTTGCACTAAATATCAATGTATTTATTATTTACAAAAAGAAAAATACTGTTTACAAGATAATTGAAAATATAATATATGTCAAATCTATGAAGAAAATAATATTTTTTAATTTAGAAAATCTATAAAAATAAAATACTAATAATGGAATAATTAGTTTAGTCATTAAAATTTATGAATTTTCATATGATATGCATCTTTCTAAATTTTTATCGATTTGATATACTTTAAGTTAAGATTATAATTTCTTTATAAATTATTAATTGATATTCTAATTTACATTTTATAATAAAATATTTATTTTTTATAAAATAAAAATATTGTTTACCAAACATTTGAGAATTAATTTTTACATTGAATTTTTTGTTAATGATAAAAATTAAAAATAGAAAAAGATGATATCATAATTCAATATAATAGTTGCATATGTTTTATGCCTTGCACTTTAATAGATAATAAAATAATAATATGTGCCTTGGACTCTTGATTGATGCATTATTAATAAAATTGTATAATATCTACGCATCCTACTATATTAATTATAACATATCTATTCATATATACCATTTTAATATACAATTCCTATGTATTTATACATTATTTATAGTTATTTTGACATTAAACTTAATGTTATTAATACACTTATGGAATTTATTTGCATTCCCTTAACGTACTTGAACGTTTCCATATTTTTCATTTGTATCCATGCTCTTCTAAAGTGTATTTGTATCCAATTTATTCAATATGATACCCAACACTAATACTTTAATCCTTGCTTGTGAAAGTCATTTGTATCTAATACACCAATACTTTATTTCTTACGTGCACATGCATGGACATGGACAATGCTAGTAGTAGTGCCATGTCATCAAGAATTAGGGTGTAGCATTAGCATTAGCAATTGTATCTTAGGTGATGTGTGGCATCGATGATGATTTCTTGAAAATCACTACCATGTTGGAGCCACATCAGTGTTAGAGGAATTGGCGTTGAAAGTTTTGTTTGGTTGGTCGATTTGGTGATTTTCAAGAAAATGGCCAAAAATTGATTCTTGAAATCAGCCCTTTTCAGGATCACCTTTTTTTGGTGATTTTCTAATTTTTATCTAATTCCGATTTTTTGAGGATGACATGGCATTGAATAACAACTCTAATTCAAACAGATTCAAAGCTGATTTTTCATGGTAGAAATGACACCAAATAACAAAAATCACCAAATTTTGAAAAATCAGTAAAGAAGAATCAACATTGATGCCAAACATCTCCTTAATTAGCATTTAAATTGCATGTTAGTTGAGAAGTTGAAAATTTTCTTTTACTAGGAGAATAAGAATCATGTGAGACTCTCTTTAGTTTGTTATTATAAACAGGAGTTGTAGGTACATGGCGCTTGCTCAGTCCTTTAGAGTACAAAGAACACTAAATTGATACCATATGGACGTTTGTGATCATTTCATAGCTCATCTTTTTCCTGCGGTGAAGTTAATGTACACCGCAGGTTTGCGATAAACATAAGGTTCACCATACAATTGCAATGAACCTTGAACGTGCGTGGCTCTAGGATAGACCTTTCCGATGATGAACTTCGGAAGAGCGTGGTCTTATGATAAATTTTGGACCACCAAGGAATCCAGGTTCGTTAAGAATCGAGCTTAAACATTAACTGTAGGTGTAATTTTAAGCAGCATAGTAATAAGGTGCCATGTAGGTTTAGTAAAATGCCACTTACCATGCAATGACATCACTAGCACCACGTCCATTAAGTAAGGTTCGAAAGGCAGTAGCACACGTGGATTATGAGAATCCTTGGGTGAAATTAAAGTCAACCCTTGAGAGATCTCATAAGAATACGTGTCAAAACCTAGTAATGCTCCTTAATGACCGACAACGGATAGAAAACTAGCACTTTTGGCTCCTTCCTTTTAGAACCTCGGGATCCCTACCTATAAATAAAGACCCTCATAACAAAATTCATTCATTCAACCATTGATGAACCCCATCATTGGATTCCCTGTTTAGTCGTCTCATCACTCCCCTTACCCTAGCCTTTTGGATGATTTCTGCTCCCAATCTTCCTTTGTCCTTCAAGGAGACCATCCCCACCTAGCCTAACCACCTCCTACTTACAAGAGCCATACATGTATGAAGGGAATGAGAATTGAAACCCAAAGGCTGTGTTTGGTTTGAAGGAGAAAATAGGTTTATAAAGGTTTCCCTAAATTTCCCTTCCTTTCTCTACCTTTTCCTTCAAACCAAACATAGCCAAAAAAGTTTCTTCCCATAAGCTTTCTTGGAGTTCTTGTTTATCTCTTACTTTTCGAGTCAATCTCTTCCATACATGATCTTTCACCTTCATCATGCCTCCAAAAATCAAGGACTAGTCTCACAAAACTCCTGCTAGAACCAAAGTAGTATCAGAGTAGGATGTAGGTGATGATTAGTCATGCATTGAGCAGATTGAA